CACAATGGGAATCGCGGTCCACATTGAGATTGCGACGTACAATCTCAACGAGTGCTTCAAAATGATCAATCCAAACGGTCGTTAACCGATGTGACCAGCGTTGCCTGCCGCGATCCGGTGATTTAGGGATGGAGGTCTCCGCTGACATCTCAATGCTCCGGGATTCGAGGCCTGCTATCTCTACTTGATAAGATCAAACAACATTGAAACGCGTAGTGGAGTGCATGGTTTTTGAGCGAACAACACCCGATATCCATCTGCTCCTTCAGTTTCGGTCCCAGGGATTTACTCGACCAACGTTCACTTCAATGAGGATCACAATCTATGAACATATATTTTCCGCAAATTAATGCATGGCCTAAGGCCTGGGCATTACATAAATTCGTTAAGATTGGACAAATATTTTGGCGTAATATTGATACATTCGTCATTTCTAACGCAAACTTTGGTCGGGACAGCTCGCGAATGTGTGAGTGTATGTTATTGGAGTGAAATGTTTTGTGACATCGCTCCTCGCTTACAGATGTTCCACACTTTAAGGTATCATTTTGTGGTAGCCACACAAATCGGATGTGTCAAATTTGGTTAGCCCGAGTGCCAAAACTTGCTTGGCGGAGGCTGGGAATATATGACCCCGGTTGTTGATAATTATTGGATGATGCACGATTTTTATTCGCCGTAAGAAATTCCGAGCACACTAAGCGGGTCATGGCTTTTTCATGAGTACCTACACCGTATTTGTCGATCTTTAGTTGGTAGCTACGGTTCATTCTGTGCGTGTCGCATATTGCCGTGTCATTTACGTGAGCTATGGAGTTTTTGACGGCAATTAACTCCGGCTTGATTTACTGGATGCCGCTGGGATGCGGAACTCCGGGATGATTTAGGCCACTTTGCGACGAAGTGTGTTGGTTAGTTGCTCCACGATATTGTTACTTCTCTTACAGTGAGCGTCGTGAGTTACTGCACAGAACTGCAAGATATGAGGAAATCTTTCCTTTTGTCCGCAGTGAAGATCACTGGGGTTAGTGGATGGTCGTCCTCTGGAGCATCGAGTTTTCGTCGATAACACACCTGCTCGAAGTTGGGTTCCTCTGATCTAGTCCCTTGGAAAAATTCTCTCACGATTTCTTATCCACTTGTGAGATGCTGGTGTCCTAATCACTCCACGAAGCAAGGATCCGTCCACAGATTGTAGTAATGATTTCTTCCATGCTTCCTTCGCGTCATTTTGTCAAAGACGACTTGATTTCCGATGGTCACGAGTTTCCTGGCGATGCCTTGGATTGTATCATCTGAAGGTTCCCCTATAGCCCAGATAGCAGTTTGATAGAAGACTGGAAGATGGCGTTGTAGTTGATCTTTTAAAAGCAGTGGGATCATACTAGAACGCCACGGAACTCCTAGGCCATAATCCTCGATTGATGCGTGAGAGAAAGCAACGCTGGTGTCCTTCGGTAGTCGTAGCCCGGACCAGGTTATCCATCGATTGAGGTTGCGCGCAGCAATTCACTCACACCACGAATGTTTCAAACTGACCCCTTCAACGAACGGATTCCATTTTGTTGTATCCCATCCCTCAGCCACATTGATTAACCGACGTTTTATGCAACTCACGACTCTCCACTCCTGCCTTGCACCATTGGAGCTTCCGTCTCAGCTTCCCACCGATTCGAGTGAGTTCACCTTGCACGAGATTGATCCCCGGTATTACGAAGTTATACATAAATAAATAAATTGTATATTAATGAGGACAAGGAGACCGTTTGGTGAGCAATTGCTTTCAATGATTCATCATCAGACTAGTACAATCATATATAGGGCTAAAAATGGAAAGAGTAAAATCGACCAGTTAGTACAAGTAACATAGACGAAAAATCGAAACGAGTTAATTGCATGTTACGGTGTTTGACTTCAGTATCTCCCGTTTTCTCGGGCCAGGAAAACTGTAGAGCCTGGACCAGCTTCTTTTGCTAGCTTAAGGACGGTTGAAATAATCGAATACAAATTGCTTCGGCCGTCGCCAGTGTACGAAGGCGTTGCCCTTTCGATCGGTGCGGTGGAACCTTGTATCCAACTCTAAAGGCACGCTTTAGCTCCACCTGATACCCACTGTCGACAATATGAGCCAAAATGGAACTGCTATTGGCCCCGGTGCCACCTTGATGCAACCAATGTAGGCAATGTTCATTCACGCGTTTGGACAAGGCATTTGTCCAACCGTATTGGAAATCGTTTTTCAATTTCGATAGAGTATCGAAGTTCAGTGTTGTTTCAATGTGTTACTTGATGTTGCACAGGATGTTTACGTCGGGTTTGGTTTTTATCTTGAGAATATTAACACGGTATATAGTGGGTATCAATTTTCTTTATGCACATTTTGATGTCTGCTTTGCTCGAGGCTATTTAGTAGTATCCAATTCTGGTAGTGGCACACACATGAAACTGGAGCAAGAGAAGCACCTATAATAGATAAATGTAAGAGTAAACTGCCACTAAAGTAGCTGGAACATCTACAATGAGGACGGAGAATGTAGAGGTATGTTTAATTTCTTCCCTCATAACGCACTTGTTGGTGATAACTTTGTCCTTCGCAGGAGGAAGAAAGAAAACAAAGACGGTGAGTGCGGTGGCCTTACCATTGCAACATTTACTCTCTGTTGTAGACTGTTTTCTGGATCATATAAATCCTGGACGTTGTTCGTGTGCTTGGCTGTTTGTTATGTGACATCCCAATAGGTGGATCACATTTTGCACGGTCAAATATTTGCTAGTCCTTTTGCGAAATTCGTGCTCCGAATTGCTAGCACGTATTTTGGGTAGTAATTTATTCCAGATTCGTACATATCTGTTAAGGAAGAAGTTAGCGGATCTAGTAGTTTTCTACCTGCATTCCTGTATTCCGTATGTTGTATACTGGTGATAGTATTATTACCCTGTTAAGGTTGAAAATATTCATTTTCTTGTACAGGAGGTTATAGAATATGAGCAGGTGGTGCTTCATTCGCCTTACCCAGATGGTATCAGGCTTGGGTTTCTCTCCTCGCTCGGAATATGCTAGTTTCGATGAGGTTCTTAACAAGCGCTTTGTGAATGTTCATTGTACCTTTTCTATTACAATGCGGTCTCGTTTGTTTGCGCTGATGTACACCATAGAGCAGTACTTCAAAGAAGGAGGTGAAAGGGATGAATAAGCGCAGAGTATAGATTCTTTTACTTTGAAAGTTCTAAATAACGTTCCATTACTTTGCCAGGTCTTTACAGTGCTGTAGACTACTTGTTCAGAGAGGTCGACCGAGCATGAGTATCTCAGTCCCAGGGCACGAACAGTATGGCATATATTAATTTGCTTATCACAAATGGCTAAACTACTAGATGTGTCGCATTTGTAAGACATAGCACAGCATTTATCTGTTGTATATGACATTCCCCACTTTGAGCACCAGGTTCTGAGTGCGTGGAGGTCGAGCTGGATCACGTTGGTAGCAGGGTGAAAAGTTTAGCTAATTTGGTTATAGTCGGCAAACACGTATGGTGTTCCGAATTTCACAACATCAAATACATCGTTAACATACATCAAAAACAGTGTAGGACCAAGGACACTATCCTGTACTACACCGCTTGTGGGTGCAATTGGTTCAGATTTGTGTTCCTGTATCTGTACCACCTGCGTTCGATTTGTAAGGTACGATTTGAACCATGAAAGCAAGGGTTCCCCGATTCCATACCACATCAATTTGGATATTACTTTTCCATGTCGCATTCGATCGAAAGCTGTGCATCTCGAAGTAAATAACGATCGCAGCCTTTCCATTATCATGTGAGGAAGTTAGATGATGTATACATTCAAGTTGGCACGTTGTACATTAACGAGCATTCAGAAAACCGTGCTGAGACTTGTTGATTAACTTATGAGACAGTAGAAAAGTCGACTGTTGCAGTTTTTATACGTCGGTCCATCAATTTGGACAAGATAGATGCATCATTTACTGGACGATAATTCTTTGTTTCGAACAGGGAGCCTGATTTGTGTCACGGTATGGTAATGGCTTCTTTCCACTGTGTTGGTACAGTGTCAGAATTCGTGGATATGGTGAACATATCCAATAGAAGCAAGAGTAGGTCGACACCTCCGAATTTGGTAAGTGTAGAAGGTACATTATCTGGTCCTCCCTAACATGGATAGTTTTGTGTATTTTATGACTTCTTATGTCACGGAGTTCACACTGGACACGGGTGAGTTCATCAAGTGTGGATGGTGGTATATCCAATCTTGGGGGGTTATTATTCACATTAAAGGAGGGGCGGAAGTACTGACTAAAGATTTCACTGGTGTGGGTCGGGTCAGTTATTATGTGGTTATCTGCTGTAACCAGTGAGATCGCGTCTTGATTCCGTTCGGTATTTTTCTACTTCAAATTGCTGATTAGATTTCGGATTTTATGCTGGCTGCAGAGGACCCTTTTCATCAGCTATCTCTTTGTTATGACATGCCAGTTGTAGAACTGTGGTAAGCTTTTGATGTTGTGCCAAGGAGGACATCATTTTTACCGTTTCTGTGGCACGTTCTATAGATAGGAAGCGTGACCTTGAAGCGTTGAGACATTATGTAATACAAAACTCTCTTAACGTGTTTGTGTAGCAGTCCCTGTTAGATTTAACTATGAGTGCTAAAACAAAGATACCTAAACGTATTTTTGCTTTCGAGGATGTCGTTGCACTTTGGATAGCATTTATCCCTTGCGATTCAGTGATTCTATCCCTCCCGGAAGCTGTATTGCAACCTTACTTAGATCGCAGATTTCCACAGTCTTCCTCGACGTCAACTCATTGTGAATCGTGTTTCACCGGACCCTGATTCTTACCTTTTGGTGAACGCATATACCTTCTTTTTACTCTCGTTTTCCGTGTAGGTTGTTAGGGAATAAATGTGTTTGCGTGTTATTTCGGTGAGCGGACGCGTTTTACTCTGGCATTTTTGTACATTCCCCTTCATTATAGCTTAGCCCTGCCATGCGCACTAGATGGCCGTGGACTGCGTTACTACGTCGCCTACACAAGTACGAAGTTAAACAAGATCGTGAGAAGATAATTTTGAGTCCCCTTATTCAGAATTCTGCCATTTGCTTACCTCCTGGGCTACAGTCCACTGTGCACCGTTTGCAAATTTGTGACCTTATCTGTAAAACCCCTTCTATGCGTCTTGCACAAACACACTCGACAAATCGCCCCAAACGGCGGGCAGAGTCCCTTCAAGACCTACATTCACGTCGTTCTTTCGCCGAGTGTTTCGGAGTTCATTCTTCAAAAGAACACATACAACTTGCCATGTACAAATTTGCTTTGCAAACGTGTTTAAATTTTCCTCTGGATGATTCTGCATCTGTTTCAACGCCATCTATCTGTGCCAATCTTCTGCTAGATCTTGGGGCGGGGAGCACTGGTTTCGCTTCAATATCACTCGTCCACAAACTTTCTCTCTTTTATATAGGCATTGATTTGTCTGGTCGCAACGTTTCGATTCCGGACCGCTCTGACCGACTGATTTGTGACCTCTCAAGGTCATCTGATCTACAGTCTTCAACCACTCTTCCACTTCGTGACGATTCCGTCGATGTGATCCTGTCGATCTCCTTTCTCCAATGGCTAACCGCATCCCACAAGGAATTGTCTGGAGTGATCGATCATTTCTTTTCCGAGATTCACCGCATTCTCACCCCTGTAGGTCATTGCATCATACAGTTCTATCCCCATTCGATTCAAGAGTTGGATGTGGTGTGTCAAGCTATGTCAACCCTAAGTCCGAATCTGTCCGGTTGCCGAATATACGCTCGGCCTGTGTCAGATCGAGGGGTCAAGATCTTCCTGTACACAAGGCGCACTCTGTAAACTTCCTCAGTAGGCTGTAATCTCCAGTTTTACTTCGTTGGGATATCTTTCGGATAATTATTGGCATCACTTTGTTGCTCTGAAGCTGTCTGAAGTGTCTTTCTCTATCTCTTCCCCGTCGGTTTATGTTCTTACGCGCTAAACTCTTCTGCCCCACAAACTATCCACTCACACTGGTATGGGCCAATCATTCTTTGTCGATCCCATCCTATTGTCGTGCTGCGACTCCGCCTCCATCGCATCTGTATTGACCACTCACCTGGCTTTGGTTCTGAATATACATGTGTTTCAAAGATTGAGGACTGCTGAAGGACTTCGCTACACCACCTAGAACTGCATGCAGCAACGTCCACTTATTCACGACACGTGTTTGGCAATGCAGCCATTACTTACCTAGGTTGAGTACGCATGTCCCGCTTGGCAGCCCAGACTCATGAATGTGTCTCGAAGATAGCACGAATTCGAACGTCTTCTGTTTGGCTGTAAGCGCATTCAACTGACACTTGGGGGTTACTGCGATAGGGCAGTGCGTCGTAGAAAGCAGACCAACATCACGTCAAGTTTCCAATGCTCACCTAATATATGTCTATCTCGAGTTTAGCCACAATCGGGGATTTTCGTGAAGTTAACAAGAGAAATCAGATGGTGCTTTTAACAAGAAGCGAGCGGCCACTTCTCACGTGTACGTGAGGCAATGGCTCTGCTTTTCGTTCCGTTTTGTACTACAACTGAGCGTCTGTCCAGTGGTCAGATGTAGATCACTGATTAAAGTATCCGGTTGCTTTTTACATATAGCACTTACTCGGAAATCAGTACTTTGGAGAGTACGTCCCAGTAATGGCATATTCCAACGGTCACCAAACTACGGCCCGCGGGCCGGATCCGGCCAGCCGACGTTACACGAATTTGTCTGGTAAAACGCATGGAATTTTAGACGTTGTGATACAACTTGATTTTGCCTGTCGCGTTGGCCGTGACCATATAATGTTTTAATACCGACATGAGCCAGCTCATGGTTGTTACATGTGCCACCGTACTACCGTATTATCAGTGAAGGAAACCCATTCACCAGTATAGTCTACTATTTCTGTTTACCCGCATATATGCACTGCCATGTTCCGTTGGTCAGCTCCATTGAAGCACGCGTTATATAAAACTTCGCTTAGTAAGACCCCATTAGTGTATGCGCGTATGATTTGGAAGCCATATGTTCTCGTAATTTTAAACGAATTATAAGTTGTGAGTACGGAATTGCGTTGGAACCACACACTGTTGAGCTACCTACATTTTTGTATTGCTAACTACATGTGAATAGTACCTGTATGCTGATTTTCCTCTGGTTGAAACGTCTCGCTCATATATATATATATATTTATTTATTTATTTATCGGCGTGATAGCTAATGCCGCGCTGAGGCTTGTGGTAGAGAGATCCTGGCAAATCGTCGTCCCGCTGCCGCTAATGTTTTGCTTTGGGGTCATGTCCTGGATGCCTCCACGTGGCCACCGCTGGGTGGGTGTTGGGTTACACCCTTCCTCTACCTAGGAACCAGGATAAAATTCCGCGTGAGTAGGTTTACTGACTTGGCGCTCGGCCTTTCGGGTACATACTTTATCCAAGGCTTTGACTGAGGACCTGAGTCATTCTCCTGTCAGGTGTGGGCGCCATTCCAGTATCCTAGTCCAACCCCCAAATATGAATTACGCTAATAATAATAAACTCATGCTGCATCGACCGTCGCGCAGTGGCCTTAGGAAAAGGGTCGCCTTATCTGATGCACACAGCTGGGTGGATAAGCGAAAATATGCTACTGCTGGCGCCTCCGTTCTTTCTTCTTCCCATGCACATACCCTCCCCGTCGTCGTTTCACCCAACCCACTACTTCAATCATACGGTTGCCCGCCAACGCAATTGTGTACCGTTCGCATAGAGCGCTCAAAATTTGGTGCCGGAACGTGCGCACTTTGCTCGACCGGGATACGAGTGAGCGTCCCGAGCGACACACTGCATTAGTTGCTATGGCACTGACGTACTATAACAACGATATTGCGACGCTCAGTGAGACTTGGCTCACTGAGCAAGGTGAGTTGCATGAAGCTGCTGCCGGATATACGTTCTACTGCGTTGGGAAATCTACCTCAGCACCGTGAACATAGAGTCGGATTTGCATTGTCCGATCGCCTAAATGGTCAGCTGGTGGCTGAGCCCAATGGCGTCAGCGCGCGGCTGGTGACTGTTCGCCTACGACTTGGTAGAGTTAAGTTTGTCACTTTTATAAACACGTACGGTCCGACCATGTGTTATCCTGATGACACGCGTGATCAATTCTACACTCATCCTCCGTGATACGGTCTGTACCGAGGAGCGACTGACTATTTTTGCTGGGTGAGTTCATCGCGCTCGTTGGGCGTGATGCATCGGTGTGGACAGATGTCATCGGTCCGCATGGCATTGGTTCAGCGAATGCGAACAGTGGCAGGCTGCCCTCACTGAGCGCCACTCATGGCCTGATGGTCACAGCCACTCGGTTTGCACTGAGTGCGAGCGATGTAGCAACTTGGACGCACCTACGGAGTGGTCACGCTCACGTGCCCTACTATGTCATCGTACGTCAGTGTGACATGCGTGAAGTGCGCATGGCACGTGAACTGCGTGGAGCTGTGTGGAACTGACCACAAATTGGTGCCGACCAAACTGTACATATATTTTCGTAAATCTATGTATTGCACTCCTGCCGTGAATCGGCGTAAATTTAACGTTCTCTCCCTCGGTACTGTGGTGAAACGTATTGAGCTGGAGAAGGCGATGGCTGCACGCCTGTGTGATGTGGAATGCATAGCCACAGTGGGCCACCTGTGGCACCCGATTCGCGACCAGGTGACGGCTGCTGCCGAAGAGACCATCGGGCGCGCAAACTCTAAGCGGACTGATTGGTTTGATGAGAACAATGCGACGATTGGCGCATTGGTGTCTGGGAAGAATGCAGTATTTGCTGCACATGTGGCAGACGCCAGTGACTTGGAGAGGAAAAGTTTGGCAGAATTCGACGACGACTGACCCGAGAGCTCCGTCTCATTAAAATGCATGGTAGACGGACAAGGCGAAGCGGATGGAATGCTACGCCGAACGCCGCCAACACAAGGAATTCTTTGAATTCTTGAAGGCGGTGTATGGACCGAAATTGGAGTCACTGTGGACGCTGATCGATGGTAGCTCAGGCGCTACCTGCACACAAACTGCAGACATAATGCAGATCTGGGGAAATCACTTTGACACTCTCTGGAACAACCGTTCAGAGATTGACTGGCCTCCATTGGGCGGCCTGAAGCAGCACGAAGTGAAGGCGAGTCTGGCGGACACGCCGACAGTGCACGAGATGCAGAGAGCACTTGCTCAGCTGCGAAACGGCAAGTGTACCTGTGCCGACGGGATACCGCCTGAAGTATGGAAACTCGGCGGATCTGCGTTGGTGACTGTGCTGCACCACTTGGTGCAACGCGTATGGATTGAGGAGGTGCCTGCTGAGCTGAAGAATGCCCTTGTGCTACCACTGTACAAGGGCAAAGGGAGCAAGCAATGTTGCACGAATTATCGTGGTATTATGGCCCCTGCGTCCACTACGTGCCCCACGGCCATTGCGGTACAAGATCAACCAGAAGCTTCCAATTCTAATTACGAAGCTTCCATTGCGTCCGCGCCAACACCAGTATTCCGTACTCTGCTGCTAGCTGCCCAACAGCTACTTTGCAGCTGTGCTTCCCCTACCAAGGAGGATCACCGCATACTTCGGAATCTGGTGAATTCATTCGCTACTGATGGATCGAGGATAGCATTTAGTGAGGCCCTAAACGATGTGTGTGCTACTCTCTTTCCACACAGATGGAGGCCTTCGAAAAAACGTGTACATACCGTTAAGATTCGAAACAATCAGCACCGGCGACGCCTACAGTATGGCCATATTCAACGTCTTTATCATACCCGCCGGAAAGACGCTGCAAGTACGGTGATTGACGGAAGATGGCGCACTGCCTTTCTTAATGAGGACGAGAACATTCCAGGTTTCACGGAATATTGGAAGAATGTCCTCTCCAGACCTTCTGCTAATGATGAGCGCGCACCGCGTCGATTCCTTCCAGCTAATGATGACTTGGTGAAGCCAATTGTCCTGGACGAGATGCAAAGTGTTCTCAAACAGATGCGGGGTTCGGCTTCCGGTGTAGACCGCATCAAGCCAGCCGATATTTCAAGGATGGATCCCTACTTTGTAACTTCTTTTTTCAACTGTCTTCTTGCTTCCTACCTATTTCCCATCCACATGAACACTGCTCGGATCACCTTCGTACCAAAAGTTTCCCAGCCCATTTCCCCTGACCAATTCCGTCCAATCGCAGTTTCATCTGTCTTCACACGCCTTCTTCATCGTGTCCTCTTTGATCGTTGGGTTCCGACTTTCCCTACCGACCGCCTTCAATTTGGTTTTCTTCGTAAAGATGGCGCTTTCGAAGCCCCGTCCATACTCCATGCTGCTCTTCGCCATTCTCATTCTTCTCGTACCCCCTTTTCATTTGCGGCAGTGGATATCTCGAAGGCGTTCGATTCCATTTCTCATCACTCCTTACTTCGAGCAGCAGCTGCTTTCGGAGCCCCCCCCCCGCTATTATTAGATTACTTGGCATGCATGCCAGCCCACCGACTCCCGCGACGTGCCTTGTTTGCTCACCGGGGACGTGGGTGGAAAAAGAGGAGAGGTGGCCAAGCGATGACTTGGTCCAAAGGAATGAAGTCCATCACTTCGGAGCTAGCCTCGGTTGGAGCTTCACGGCTCCCTGGTTGGGGTCCAAAAGACGGTGAACACGTTTGGCTGGATACACTTGCTGACATGGCAAGGAGCCGATCTCAGTGGCGTTCGTGCTGTGAGTTTCTTTGTCCCTCCCCATCCCTTTTAGTCTCCCCCTCCATCTACGATCTCATTTCCTAGGGTAAAACATAATAAAAAAAATTTTCTTTTTGCCTAGTAGCTAGCTGGAAACTTACCGGAACGATGCCTATCCGTTTCTGTAGCTCAGCTGGCATGCAACTGTTGTATCTATTTTTCCTTTATGTATTGTGTTATATGTATGTTCCATGCACTCAGTGTGGAGCGGACTACGGTCCAGCCACCGCCTTGTGTGCGCTTGATTCCCCAAATACAGCGTGCTTGTGCTTGCCTGTGAAGGAGTGTGGGCCGGCTCCGTTGATGAAACGTGGCTCCGATGCACATGCCTCTCGGTCTTATT